GAATGCTCCAAGTGGATTTTTTTTTTAAAGTGAACCATTTAAACATGTCTTTAGGATTTGGGTTTTTTGTCCAAATAAAGGAGTAGCCAAATGAGACACCATCCTGGCTGGATTTGCTGGAACTATAGTTCAGCAATTCATGGAACATCACAGCTTTCTGACTTAGAATGTACAGCATCTTTAGTGATTGTAGCATTGAGAAGGAACTTCTTTTCCCTTTTCTGTCATAGCAAATGTTTTCCTATGCAGTGTAAACATTCTTCAGATGCTGGGAACTTCACGCCCTGCCTGCTTAGAATGGAAGTTTTCTTATTGTCTCTAAAGGAAAAAATTATGACCAGAAGCTAGCATTGCATCATCATACAGGTAGTCCACAACTTACAGCCTTCCATTTAACAGTCATTCAAAGTTACAACATCAGTGAAAAATGTGACTTGCTACTATTCCTCGCACATATGACTGTTGCAGCACCCCACAGTCACATGATCACCATTTGGGCACTTGCAGCATCCTGGGGTCATGTGACTGCTGTTTGTGAACTTCCCAGCAGGTTTCTGACAAGCAACGTCAACGGGGGAAGCCAGATTTACTTAATGGCAGCATGATTCAGTTAACAACTGCGGTGATTTGCCTAACTTTGGCAACAATGGTCATAAAATCAGATGCAACTCATTTAACAACCGTCTTGCTTAGTAACAAACATTCTGGCCCCAATTTTTGCTGTAGCAATAGCAATAGCTCTTAGACTTATATACCACTTCATAATGCTTCACAGCCCTCTCTGGGCAGTTCACAATGTCAGTATATTGCCCCCAACAATCTGGGTCCTCATTTTACCGACCTTGGAAGGATGGAAGGCTGAGTCAACCTTGAGCTCGTGAGAACTGAACTCCAGGCTGTGGGCAGAGATTGCCTGCAATACTGCATTCTAACCACTGCACCACCACACTTGTAAGTTGAGGACTTACCTGTTAAGCAGACATGTCAAACACGCGATGTCACATGACGTCGCGCGACGTCTCGGAGCTTTTTTGCCATTGCCGGCAATGGGGTGGGCGCAGCTCCGGTATGATGAAACCGGCCTGCAGGCCGGCAGTTTGACACCCCTGCTGTTAAGGAATGGACTTCTTTGATAGGACTCTCATATCTGATTGGCAGAAATCCAGACAGTCACTAAATGGCACAGTGATGCAAAAAAACTAACAATTTGCTGTCAGCTATGGTCACTTCAGTGTTTGCAGCCCAGATATGGTAGCTCTATCAGAGTCTCACATTTATTTAGTATAAAGCTAAATCTTTTTGTTGATACCAGTACAGCATAGTATGTCTCAATTCCTTCATATTGACTTTGTTAATATCAGAGACTGGGTCTAAAGTCCCCTGTGCGGAATGACTTTGAGAACTATAATACTATGTTGATATAAGTTTAATAGGTATGATAATACCTATTTAATGCTACATTATTGCCATGGCTGCAGTAGTATGAACATGAATTCTTTGCTGTTCTACATTCCTTCAAGATTCCTCAGCCACAATAATTTGAACTTCAGGGTAACAAGAAACAGAAATGGTGAGATTGATCACCAGGCAGCAGAAGTTGAGAGACCACATGGCAGGACCCCACCCCATCTATTTACTCTTTGATGCCTCAACAGCATTTTCTCAGTTGCAGTTTTGCTGCTCTAGCTGCTCTTAAATGATCTACTGCGCTTAGCATGAGAGAAGCTCCTTTCCCATCAACTCTAGTGAAATAACATTTACTTCAGATGCTGGTCCAGTCAGCTTCCATACTTTCAATCAGAATAGAGCTGGAAGGGATCTTGGAGGTCTTCTAGTCTAACCCCCTCTCAGGCAGGAAACCCTATACCATTTCAGACAAATGGTTGTCCAATTTCTTCTTAAAAACCTCCAGTAATGGAGCACCCACAACTTCTGGAGGCAAGTTGTTTCACTGATTAATTGTTCTAACTGTCAGGAAATTTCTCCTTAGTTCTAAGTTGCTTCTCTCCTGGGTTAGTTTCCATCCATTGTTTCTTATCTTGCCTTCTGGTGCTTTGGAAAATAAGATGACCCCCTCTTCTTTGTGGCAGCCCCTCAAATACTGGAATACTGCTATCATGTCGCCCCTAGTCCTTCTTTTCTCTAGACTAGTCATACCCAGTTCCTGCAACCGTTCTTCATATGTTTTAGTCTCCAGGCCTTTAATCATCTTAGTTGCTCTTCTTTGTACTTTTTTTTTCCAAAGTCTCAACATCTTTTTTGTAATGGGGTGATGCAGTATTCCAGGTGTGGCCTTATCTTGGGCCAATTCTCACCTTTCCCTTTTTTGTCATCTTGGGCTCACCTCACAAAGTTCTGTGAGTTTGCAGAAAAATATAATTTTTTAAAAGATTAAGAAATCCTAAGCATGAAATTTTTGAAACCTTCTCAAAGAGAAGAAAGATAATTCTCAAGGCTTAACTTTCCACTGTGGAATGCCTGAAAAGATATTCTATGTTTCAATTGCAGATTGCCAAGGCCTCAAGGAAACGCCTGCAGGTGGGCCTGGCCTACTCGGAGAGGCATCACATTCGCATTTCCCAGCAAGATTTCAAATTATTTCGGACTCTGTTTCTCCTGATGATTTCCTTCTTTGTCATGTGGAGCCCCATCATCATCACCATTCTCCTCATTTTAGTACAGAAGTTCAAACCAGATGTGAACATTGCATCCTTTGTTTTCTTCTGGATAATGGCATTTACATTTTCCAATTCAATCGTCAACCCGGTTTTATACAATATAGTCCAATTTAAACATGGTTGGAGGCAAATCTTTTTCTGTTGCCAAAATCTTCTTGAGAAAAAAGAGACTACAACGGACACTTTCCTGAAGCAACAAAATGGAAAACATTTCACAGTATCTGTTATCACCAGATAATTGTGTGGTATTCCTCATAAGAAGAAGGTCAACAGTTTTTAAGAACTGAAGTAAATAGTTGAGAAAACAATCAATTCGTAGAGACTGCTTTGGTTTTGTTTACCTTGGTAAGAAACATGGATGAATAAACCTGATAGCAATAAACTTGCATTAAAACAATTTAACTGGGAGGATCTCCATATTATACCATCCTAATCTAATTAAAATGATGATTTCTTCAGGATCTCCTTGCATATATCCATGACCTAACAACAGGTTCACACAGACTGTTGATTTCATAAGAGCAAGAATAAATGCCTAGCTACTGGGAGATTTCACCACTTAAGTTGGACCATACCACTTTTAACATGCCAATTTTCCTTTGGAATGGGGTTTCTCAACCTTGACACTTTAGGTTGCATGGATTACAACTCCTAGAATTCCCCAGTTGAAGTCCACACAAGTTGTCAAGGTTGAGAAACATTATTCTAGGAAGTCACATTCAACATTTCTGATCACAGACTTATTTTAACTGATGGCTATTGAGAATGAAAGACTCAATTCCTGATTGCTCTGCCTTTGAGCCAGGCTGCTGATTGATTCTTTCTTCAAAGGGACTTTTTATTGGTCTATTTTGTAGACCAATAGCAGGCTGGCTCAAAGACAGGCCAATCAAGAACCAGTTCTCTTGGAGTTTCTTTAAAATGAACTATTGAGAAGTCTATCTAGAAGATAAATCAATCAAGAACCAGCTTTCTTAGATTCCTGTGACATGGACCAATCAGAGATCAGTTTACAAGCTTCAAACACAATTGCCCAGGCGGTGTTCTGTCTTTAGTTTTCTGTGAGCTGCTGCAAAGTACACAACAAAATCTCTCACTCTGCCTCTGAAGATGCCAGCCACAGCCACCAGTGAAATGTCAAGACACCAGAAACATAGACCGTGGCCATTCAGTCCCAAATCTCATCACTTGCTTGACACTGGCTGTGAAAACCTGCACCAGTAGAAAGAACAGATTAATTATCCCTAACTTAAAATTATATATGTGTATTTAGCTAGTATCCTCATTCTTAGAATCATAAACAGATAGATTTGATTCTTATGAATATTCAACTGAAATTCCCAGTTTAAAAGCAAATTCTCTTGGTCTTTATGGCTGAATCTGAGCCCTAGATTTGGCAGATCTCTGTTAGTCACAGGAATCTAAGAAAGCTGGTTCTTGTGGGGAACATAGGAGGAGCAAAGAGTATTTTGTACACTCATCACCTTAAGTTCTTTATATTAAAATAATAATCATAAAGGCAGTGTAAAAAAATGTAAAAACCAATGGCTTCTGAAGATTTCTTTGGTCTAGCACAGGGGTCTTCAAACTTGGCCCTTGTATGATTTGTGGACTTCAACGCCCAGAATTCCTCAGCCAGGCATGCTGGCTGAGGAATTCTGGGAGTTGAAGTCCATAAGTCATAAAAGGGCCAAGTTTGAAGATGCTGGTCTAGCATCTGACTCAGTGTGAGGGAGCTTCTCCTGTTCCTATTGTAGATCAAAGGACCCTGACAAATCATGTTCACATAAAATGTATGAAAAATATAAAATACTCAATAGCATACCTTCAAGAAAAATGTACACGTATCTTGTGAAAAGATGCAACATGTGCACAAATTGCAATAATACTTTTATGTTTCAGCTTCTCCTTCCTCAAGAAAAGTAGTGCAGTTGGTTAAGATGAGGGTATACTTTCCCTGCCCATGAGATGAAATTCTGCCAGCACAGTAATATTTGTGGATCATTTGTAGAATGAGAAAGGACACAACACATAATTAGCTCTGAAAATTTAGATTTATAATTTTTAATCACTGCAAATACAACATACTAGTTCTATACCCCAAATGCATAAATACACATTCACAACACAATCATGGTGCTATTGCACTGATTTTAGTTTATTAACTAGTGAAAGGATAAATGATGTAATTCAGTATACTTAAAATCCAAATGAATCCATGAATGAATTGAAATGAAATGAAGGACGTCTCTCAAAACTACATTTTAAAATCTTTTAACTATTGAGAATATGCTTTCCTGCTTTCCATAGAGTATGTTGTCTTTAGTCGCAGAATCCTAAGAAAGAAAAATAGAAAAAAAAATCTACTAAAATTCCCAGAATGCATTACAAAATAAAGGGAACTGGTTTGATTTAATATGGTATAGTATACCCAGCTGGCAGATGGGTACAAACCAGCCTGCTAAATTACTAGAGTGTGAGTGTCTGTTTAATTTCACTCTTGATGACTCAAAGAATAATACATACATCTTAAAATTGACAAGTCTGAGAAATACTGGTATAGACAAACTGTCCATGTGTAATATGTTAAAGCTTTTTTCAGGATGGGTGATATTGTGTGAATATACTATAATGACAGCTGCTATACTGTTAACTGAACTAAGGAAGTGGGGAAAAGACATGAATTTCAAGATGGAAAAACAGATATTCTGTGGGTTGCAGAACTGCAGGAAGAGATTTCCTAACAAAAAGGGAGAATAATCCAAATTTAAATTAACAAGCCAGATTGCCTCTATTTGCAAAAGGACTGTAGAGGAAAGCATGTAAATCATATTTGAGAAAACTGGTAAATATTGAATTAATATGGAATAGCAGAAATCCCTCTAGGCCTACTTTTTTCAATTCCATCATTTATTAAAAAACACCTGGTGTTTAACTCATGGCCAAGTTTTGTTTAATCCCTTTCATGAGTCTTCTCGTGCCCAATTTGCCTTCCAATTCCGTCTCCCTGGTCCCCTGAGATTTTGGCCTAGGTAGACTTGAGATCACAGCAACTGGAACCTTGTATGAAACAATGGCATTCAGGATGGATAAGTAGGTTTATAAGTTTGTTTCTAGTATGATCTACTCCTCAAATCTGATCATTTCATCAGATGCACCTCTTAAACTTTATATATTAGGGTTTGCCATGAATATAACTTGAAGCAGATGCAACAGATGTGTTGGACTTACAAATTTCCCAGCCGTAAGGTCGTAGTGGTTAGAAATTCTAAGAGTAATAGCCCTAACATATCAGATTGGTGAAAGCTAGTCTTAAGGCATATGATGATCCAGACCAGTATTTCTCAAACTCACAACTTTAAGATGTTGCCTGGTGAATTCTGAGAGTTGAAGTCCATGCAACTCAAAGGTTGGGTGATGTTGAGAAACACTGATCTAGACAAATATATTAGGAACTTAATTTTTGCCCATTAAAGGAGATACATAATGTAATGTATTCTCCATCTTTCACTCATAGTGCTATTTTCTTCCATAATCTGTCTGGAAGACAGGCCCTGTTTTTATCAAGGATCTTAAGATGATTGTGGCATCTGTGTGCCACTAAGAATTCTAACCACATTAGAATGAGCACTTTTCTTGTTCTTACTCTATCCTGTCCTTAGCCAGATTTCCTGTAAATTCTAATAAAATATTCCTTACCATCATGTACAATACGCCTGTATTGCTTGTCTAGGCAGAGTTCCACCTGCTTTTGCCTGACCATTTTTTGTGCTTCAGGTGCTAGCCCATCTGGAGTCCGGGAAAACAAAAACGAGTAGCTATCATCACAAGTTCCATCTTCAGTAATATTACGGCAGGAGTAGTGTAGAGCATATGTATCGTAATCCGTGGCCATAACCCAGTGATCATCATCTAGGATAAAGCATAGTGAAAACTCAGTATGTGTTCTTTCCCAGCCTATGTGAGTCCTTGTTAACTCACAAGGACAAACCCCTCTTTTAACAAGTAGGCTGGAAATGCAGAAAAAACAAACCCCTTTTATTAATTAGGTACAGACCTACAAAATGTCCCAAAAGCAAAGGCAAACAAAATACGATGCAAATGGAGAATTGTCCAAGGCAAACAGAACACGATTCAAACGGAGAATTGTTCACAAGCAAGGCAAACAAAACAGGATTCCATGAAACTTGATTCCTTTGCAAATGGTTGCCTTCAGCAACCAGCACCGCCCACATCTTCCCTTTTTATTATGCAGCCCCAAGGCTTCTCAATGCCTTCTCCTCCTCCCTTGGAGTCGCCCCATTGCCTCCCTCTGTCCTGCTCTTGCATTTGCAAGCATCTATGATATCTTCCAGCTGTGAGTCCTCAGAATCTGACTCAGCTTCCCCGCACAGCTGAGTCTCAGCCTGAGCATGATTGGAGGGGCCAGGCTCTTCATCAGATTGTAAGTCCTGGAGCTCATCAGAGCCTTCCTCCGACTCTGATGGCTCTCTAGGTCCCTCCTCCTCCTCCTCTGATTCCCCAGATTCAGCTGCCAGGTCCACAGACTGGCACGGACTCACAACAATATGTAGACCTCAACATATATGACAATTGGGTCCAGAATTTATGATGCTAAGCAAGGTGGTTATTGAATCATGCCTGATTTTATGACCTTTTTGGCCAGGATTGTTAAGTGAATCACTGCAGTTGTTAAGTCCAAACTAATAACGTTTCACAAGACCCCAAGATGCTGTAAGTGTTGTATATTCATGGTGGTTGCCAAGCTCCCAAATTTTGATCACGTAATTGTGGGGATTCTATGATATTTGTAAGTGAGAGGACTGGTTGCAAATCACTTTTTTCAGTGCTGTTGTAACTTTGAATGGTCACTAAACAAATAGTTGTAAGACAAGGATTACCTGCATTTTTTATTCCACCAAGCCCATTAGTTCATCATCACATATTGATCCACTGTCACTCACTTTAAAAAGCTATTTCACACAATCTTTCTTCTTGAGCAAAACTTATTTTGTAGACATCTGCTTAATAATGTAAAAAGCATTGCTGTTCAGATAATGAACTTTATCAGATAGGAGATTTATTTTGGTATTAGAAAATGCTAATTATTCAAAACTGGTTCTGAAATGTTTAAATACACAGGCAATTTAGTTGCTCACATACATGTTAATGCTGTATGTAGAAAAATTATGAATAGAAATTAGATTTTAAAACATTATTTCAGAGGCAAATGGCAAGTCAAACTGGTGAACACAACAGGGAGAATGGTTTTCAGAAAAGTTGCTAATGGTGTTTTGGTGCTGAAGAAGCCAAAGGTTTAACATCCATGGAATGGACAGGCTTAAGTGATAAAAGTCCTGAAATTTACATAGGAATCAACACTAGGAGCACATTATCTTTCAAGTTATCAAATAACTTTAGGAGGGGAAAGAACTTCTAACAGCTTCCTTTCTAAAAGACTGGAGCCAGCTTTTGATAAGATACAAAGCAGGAGATGCGCCAAATTCAGTGTTTAACATGACCAGACAAGGACACCAGCCTTTGGACTCCAGAGCTTTTAGGAAGCAGAATGTTGTGATTTCGTGGCAGACCAAAGGTTAAATATCTGTTGAAGGTGGAGATGAAAAAAAAACTGGAGACAAATAGCCAGTAATATCTGATGATTTCTGGAGTTAGTCTGTTCTAGCCACACACAAAAAAACCCTGAAAAAAACAGACAATTCTATCTGCCTTTTCTGAAGACTTCAAGGGATTGCTAAAACCAGATTTTCAGCAACTTAAGTAACAAAATCATTCAAATGATATGTCAGTCTATTCTGAACAACTTCCTTAAATGTAGCTGGAGCTTCAGTGGCCAGGTGTAGGAGATTTTCTTCTGCTTTCATCTACTGTATTTAATATTTATAGATTTGACCAACATCTCTTCACAAAGTAAAGGAGACTAGATCATAACTTCCCCCCACCCCAACCTGGCACTTTCCAGATGTATTGAATTTTGCACTTTGAGCAGTCCAAGGTAGCAAGGGCTCTGAGTAGCAAGCTTTCTTCCTGGTATACTCACTTCCTTTCTGGAGATATGAGGCCACACCCCAATATTTCATTTTAAACTTGGCAGGGTTCTCTGTCTCGGTGAAGGTGCCAATCATATCAGCACACATATTCCAACTACTGAAAAGAAGGAGAGATGGATATAAGGTCATATTTGTAAATCTGTAGCTACTTGTGCTTACCAGCAAGGAATAAAGGAAGGTAAGCAGGTGGAAGAGAGGCAAAAACTATAATAGGCTGGATCACATCATTTTCTAACTTGAGTAATAACCATTTTAGTTCTTGTGTTGCACCTACCAACACAAGTCAAAGTATTTAATAATCAAGGCCAAACATGATTTTTGGCATAAGACAGAAACTAACTCCACCATCACCACTGGATTGTCCCCTGCCTTGTCCTTCCTTATTGCAGTAGTAAAACATTCTAAAACCTACCCGTTTGATGTCCCAAGGTAGCTAAGAGAGCAACCTGATCCTCCCTAATGATACGACTGGACCTTCTGTGAAGGAAGCTTGATCTCAAGACTCACCGGAAGAGCTCAACTCGGCCTCTGGCAGTGGCAGTCATTTTATCATTCTCATCCACAAAAAAGTTGGCCACCACATTATCCTGAAGAAACAGTCCTTTAGGGTCTTTCTTGGCTATGGCATACCAGGTGCCAGCATACTGCCAAAAAGAGGGGAAAAAAGTCCTTAGCAGATCTGTCTATATGAGGAAATGCAATACAAATGTGAGGAAATGAAATGCCAATGAAGAAAGTTTCAACTGCAGCAGTGTTCATCTGTCATTAACATTTGTAACAAAAAATGAAATTCCAAACACGTTATGCAAGGATGAACTTCAATATTTCAAGAAACCCCAAAACATTTTGAGCGAAACTAAACAAACCTTGATTCTCAGCTAATTTTGCTTAAAATAAAATTCCAGATTAAGTTGGTGAGTGCCACTTGCAAGCCATATTTTGAGACTTCTGATTATAGGCCTAAAGATTACCCATGTAGTAGGCCTGTATTGATATTATCCTTCTCATCTTCACATCTTTCTCATCTTCACATCTTCTCTTTTTTCCTACTACCTTCTCCTATCTATGATTTATCACTTGTTGTTGTATCTTGTGATTAATGATTGTAACCATGATCTATTAAATAAGCCATATCAGTTGTTGTATGTACACTGAGAGGTTATGCACCAGAGACAAATTCCTTGTGTGTCTATCACAGTTGGCCAATAAAGAATTCTATTCTATTCTATTCTATTCTATTCTATTCTATTTTATTCCTTTGAAAGAGGGGTGAACCACATACAATAACTCTGCAAAACTTAATAATTAACCTTTGTTTTATTTACCAGATAGTTCCTACATTATTATGAAACCAGTGGTAAGGTATAAATATATACCATTCCAGGGATGACGCAGATTATCCACTGATTATGAGCCAATAGTAAAGGAAAACACTAGATCCGACATAGCCATACCTTTTCCTTACATATCTAATTTTGATTTCCTTACTACGCCAGGAAAAGTGATAGGGAAAGTTGCCTGCTAGTAAAAAACATACAATGTCAGATTTGTTTTTCCCAGAAAAATCAAAGTTGAAGTATTCTCTGCAATCTTAGAAAAGGAAGTCTAAAATATTTGATGACTGTTGCCTTTCAGAGTCCTAAAGATCTGTGCCTTATATTTCATGAAATGTGCTCTTCTGCATATAAAGTAACTTGTCTCTCTATTTTATTTTTACTGATTTGTTAGATTGCATCCCACACCTTTATACAATGCTTAAGGCAGCTTACAGCACTGAAAAGGCCCATTACAAAATGTAAGAGTAAAAACTATATCGTTGAAGTCAAGCCAAAATTAAGATTAGTATGAAAAATAATTGCTATCCATTGGAAGTGATCTAGAAAGCTTTTCTTTTTCCTGTCATCTCTAACACGGATAAAGCAGAGATAAACTGGGTTAGATAACTGAGCCTTCTAGGATTAACACATGAATAATTTGGATGATGAAGTGGTGCCAATTCTCATCCCCTTGTCTCAGTCTGTCAATAAGAAACTTGGGATCTAGCCTTTATAATAGAAGATGACTCACTTGGAGTTTACATACAGGTGAAATATCTACATACATAGGCTGTCCAAGAAGGAAATTCCGGTAAAATCAAGTTACTGTTGTTACTTGAAATGTAAACCACATGTAACACAATTCACAAATGCGATTTCTCTAAGAGAGTGACACCATTTAAAATTTATTTCTGAAAATAAATGGAAGAGTTGAACAGTTTGCTGAGCAATGAACACAACTAACTGCCTTTCTCTGTTTCAAAGAGAGATAACCATGAATTAGCTTCATGCAATGTTAATACTCTTATCCATTTAGTAGCAGTAGAACACATGACGTAGAAGATTACACCACCTGCCTAAAGGATTTTACTGTTTTTTTACATTTGGCAACCCAAGAAGCAGTAGAGTTATATTTAGGTATGGTTATGAATTTGAGGATAGAGATTCTATGTCCCTCTAAATGGTTTCAGACTGCACAAAAGTATAGTTCAGCAACATTCAGAATCCCATGGGTTTCTCAGTCTTGGTGTAGGGCAGGAAATTAAGGTGACAAGGTAGATTTTAGAGAAGAAACTGAAAGCAATAAGAATGATGGTTACTTGGAAGGGACCATTTAATTCAGTTTAATTCAGAATAGAGCTGGAAGGGACCTTGGAGGTCTTCTAGTCCAAATCCCTGCTCAAGCAGGAGACCCTATACCATTTCAGACAAGTAAGTGAATGTTCAGTCTCTTCTTAAAAATTTCCAGTGATGAAGCACCCACAATTTCTGAAGGCAAGTTGGTTAATTGGTCTTATTATTAGAAAGCTTCTCCTTAATTCCAGGTTGCTTCCCTCTTTGATTAGTTTCCATCCATTGTTTCTTGTCCTGCCCTCTAGTGCTTTGAAAAATAAGATGACCCTCTCTTCTTTGGGGCAGCCCTTCAAATACTGGAATACTGCTATCATGTCACCTCTAATCTTTCTTTTCTCTAGACTAGTCATATCCTATCAGGCTTACTGTACAGGCAACTAAGATTCTTTCATGTAACTGGGGAAAATTTTGGAAAGTGGGAGCAGCAAAAAAAAAAGCAGGGATGGGCTGTAGGGGAGCAAACTAGAATATCTAAAGAAGGAAAAGATGAGGGCAGGATACTTACTCGATATTTATCAAAGTTTTCCTGTACTGTGAAGTTGCTCACTTGGCAGTCCCGCTGAGCTTGACATCTGCTATCCAATAATGCCAAGAACCCCACTAGCATCAACAAGGCAAGACTTGGATTCCTGCAAGACATCTTGCTCCTTTGTCCCTGCAACAAAAACCAAATACCAATCATAATGCGGAAGAAAAGGAAGACTGTGCAGAATAACCTGAAGGAAAGATAAAGAACAGACTCTTTTAGTCATATGGCAGATGAAATGATAAATCCAGTGCTTTTTTTGTAAAAAAAAAAAAAAAAAAAAAAAAGGTGCCGGAACTCACACACGTCATGCAACCCGCCTTGCCTACCCTACAAGGTTCCATCCCAAAAAGGTGCCGGAACTCCATTCTGGGAGTTCTATGACAAAAAAAGCCCTGGATAAATCTTATGAAGCCCCCCTAAATAGAGTACTAGAATTCTTATAAAAGGATCTTTCTGAATCAGGGTAGTATTGGGACCTTTTGAGGTCATCTTCTGTATATCATAATCACCAGAGAAAGAGGCTCCAATAATTAATGTAGTTACTTGTCTGTGGAAGAGAAATGCAGACCCAGCAGCTAAGTTCTAAAGCAAACAGGAAGAGGACAGGAGCTTTATAACCTTGGGTGAGGTTGTTGAAGCAGTTCTTTGCTTAAACCCCCTCCCATGCAGCCGTATTGGGAGGGGGAAGCAAGCAGAGACCAGGCAGTTAGATTAATTCCAGCTGCTGGCCAAGCTCTCCTAACAAAGATCTTGCATAACTCTGCAGCAGGAGGCTGGGGAAGCAAACAGCAATGACAGCAATGATCTTTGATCCCTAGCCACACATACTCTTCTTTGGATTCTAGAACAACAGGGGTCTCTCCGGTTTATGTAACACCATTTGAGTAAAAGCCAAGCCAAGAAAGCAAGATTCACCCAGCAAGCTCTGGTTATGGTTCAGAAGAGGGCTTGATGGCTGCAAGTGTCTCTGAGAACTGTTCTTGTTTTCATGCTCATTTGGGCATGGTTAGAAACACTTCATGATATCACTGGCAAAAAGGATTCTCATTCATTCAGTGTTGTCATTGATCCTTCGGGCCTTTCTGAATGTTAAAGGATTTTTTTAATGGAATTGTGGTAGGAAAGAAGACCCAATATCCATTGTATGACAATATATTTTGCTACAGTATGGTGATTGGATTGGTTTCCCCGCATGGGCAGGCCTAGTTATCTTTTTTTAAAGGGAGAATAGGTGTCTTATATGTGAATGTGAGACAGAGCAGAAGGTGGTCTTCCTGGGGATGAGCTGTGTTAAGTCCGGAGAATAATGGCGCTTAAGACTAAGCATTTCTAACAAGTCTTTATTCTCTGCTTCCAATCTACGAACAACCCGAGCAGAGGCACGCAGGCCTCTATTTATACCTTCTGATCCCCGGGCAATTCCAACCAATCACAAGGCAGTCTTTTCCCGCCTTGCGCATGCGCGCAAGGCCGGCGCCACTCAGTCTGGTCCCGGGCAGCTTTTGCAAATGCCCGGGACT